CTTACATTTGTTGCTGCTGTTGTTTTGTAAAAAAGAAGACACAGAGTGAAGTAGATAAACAAGAGGGAGGGGAGATGTGGGAGGAGATGGGGGACTGGTGTGAATATGACCAAAATAAACTGTATAAAATTCTCAAAAGATTATAAATCTTATTAAAAGAAAAAAAACATTTGTTGAACCAAATCCTATACGGGGACTGGAGATGCAGTAAAGTGGTTAAGAATGCTAGGCCCTGAGTTCCATCCCCAACAGAGTAAAGCAGTGCCACCAAAAGACAAAACAAGAGTCAATCTTTAAAGCAGTAGCTCTGGAAGCTGCTTGTGGTTTCTCTCCTCAATAAATCAGAATATCAGGTCCTTCCAATGTTAACTCTAGTGTTCTAAACCGACAGTGCTTAACAAATGGCAGGGCACAATTTAAAGGACACAAAAAGCATTTGTTAGATAAAAGGTGTATTTGCAATAGCTTATTTTGTAATGGATGGTTAATAAGATTACAGTGATCAGCACAGTAATCTGAGGATGAAAGAAGATCTAAGTACTAGGGAATCCATCTCCATTGATTAGACAGTTTCTTTGACACAAAGCATTCATGGTTCATTTGGGGGTCTGTAAGAACAGTGCATACTAAGTGTCACGTATCAGCTCCTGCTCCACCGAAGTCGAGTGCCACAACGTGCCCCTTCTGAACAGAGATTTGTGAGGCGGCAGAGACCAAAGGCCTGAACCCACTGCTGGTGCCTAAGGACACACATGCTCACCCATATGCACAACCAGCCTGGAAAGGGACTCTGGTACTTCTTACGTGGTATGTGACACATTAAGAGCTCTAACAGATCAGTCTTTTAGTTTAAAAAGATTACGGTTGGGACTGGAGAGTTGGCTCAGCAGTCAAGAGCACGTACTACTCTTGTAGAGGACCTGAAATCAGTTCCCAGCATTCACAATGGTTGGGACACCAGGACTGCATGATGGTGATGCTCATGCCACTGAAGGAGAAGCTCACAGAGGTTAAACATGGAGAACTGCCAAGCTGGATACTGATGCAGAATTTTGGCCCGTGGCATTGTGGGAGACTTTCAGACAGGTTACAGACAGCGACAGAAGTACATCAACATCTGGAGAGGCAGCATCGTGGGGTTTAACAGGGTGCTGGCAGCCTGTGTGTTTTCAGCTACTACGTTTTTTACAAGAAACTCATAAGTACCACTGAAGAGGGATCAGTTAATATGGAGGCCACTACACACCTGAGCACAACTGGCTGCCAAGCTCCCATCCATGAAGAGCTCAACTTGGCTGAATCTCCAAATCCTGACTGAGAACTACTGTCCAATGGAAGGTAATTGGTTCAAAAAGAGTAGATGGCAAGAAATAAACTTGAGGCTGAAGTCAATGAAATAAAAACAAAAAAAAAAATCCACAAAGAATGAAATGAAGAGGTGGTTCTTAGAAGGGAATAAAAAGATTGATAAATTCTTAGCAAAACTGAATAAAAGAAGAAAACAGAAGATCCAAATTAATAAAATCAGAGATGAAGTGGAACATTTTACAACAAACATGAAGGAAATTCCGAAACTCATAAGGACAAATTTTAAAAATCTCTAACAAACTGGAAAACCTAAAAGAAATGGATGAATTTCCTTGCGTATATAATCTATTAAATTTAAATAAAGAATACATAAGCAATTTAAACAGACCCATAACCCATAATGAAAGAGAAGCAATAACTAAAAATCTCCCAATCAAACAAAAAACAACTCCCAAAAAAAGTCATATAGATTCAGCACAGAATTCTACCAGCCCTTTAAAGAATAATTAATGGCAATACTTGTAAAATTATTCCACAAATTAGAAAGAAGGAAGACTTCCTAATTCTTTATACAAGGCAACAACTACCCTGATTCCAAAACCACATAAAGATCTAACAAGAAAAGAAAATTAGTGTGGTAGTTGGAATGTAATTGGCCCCCATACGATCATAGGGAACAGTACTATTAGGAGGTATGGCTTTGTTGAGGTAAATACGGACTTGTTGGAGGAAGTATGTCACTGTGGAAGTGGGCTTTGGGGTTTCAATATGCTCAAGTCATAGCCAATATCTCAGTTCACTTCCTGTTGCCAAAGGATCAAAGACATAGAATTCTCAGTTCCCTCTGCAGCATCATGTCTTCCTGCAGGCGGCCATATCTCACCGTAATGATAATGAACTGACCCTCAATGTTTCCTTATAAGAGTTGTTGTGGTCATGGGGTCTCTTCACAGCAATAGAAACCCTAAGACACAGATCAGTCTTCTTTATGAACATAGATGTAAAAATTCTCAATAAAATACTTGCAATCTGGACCCAAGAATACATCAAATACAATTTCTACTATAATCAAGTTGACTTCATTTCAGAGATGCAGGGATGATTCAACATACATAAATCAAGAAACATAATAAACCTATAAGCATACTGAAAGACAAAATCCACATGATCATTTCATGAAGTGCAAAAAAGGCCTTTGATAAAAGCCAACACCCTTTCATGATAAAAGTCCTGCAAGACTAGGGATAGAAGGGATATACTTCAACATAATAAAGGCAATCTACAGCAAGCCCACAGCCAACATCAACCTAAACAACGAGAAACTCAAGCATTTCCACTAAAATCAGAAACAAGACAAGGGTGTCCACTCTCTCCATACCTATTCTACATAGTACATGAAGTCATAGCTGGAGCAGTAAGACAAAGGAAGGGTGTCAAGGGGAGACGAATGGAAAGGAAGAAGTCTAAGTACCTTTATTTGCAGATGATATGGCTTTATACACAGTAATTCTAAAAAACTCCATCAGCAAACTTCTATAGTTGATAAATATTTCATCAAGTAGCAGGATAAAAAATTAACATACAGAAATAGTAGCCTTCTTATATACAAAGGGAAAAGAAAGTGAGAAAGAACTACGGAAATGATACCTTTCACAATAATCTTTAAAAAATGTATCTTGGGGTAATGCTTTGGTGTCTTTAAAAGCAATTTTCTTATTGTGATGAAAGGCACATACAATTTAAAATTTTAACCACCAGGAGTATGGGAGATTTGCACTATTATACTCCCACCACCACCTGCCATCTCATCTTGTAAATACAAAACAATAACTACCCGCACACAAAGATGGTCCTACTGTCTGTGTGCATTTATGCTGTTGTTGTGGGTGTTTACATAAGCAGAACCATCAGAATTGATCCTTTCCTATAGAGCTTGTTCCTCTAGCCTTGAACGTTCATCTATATTGTAATCAGAACTGTTCTATTATATACACACAAGGCAGAGAGCCCATATCATTCATCCACTCATTTGCCAATGGTCACTGGGATGCTTGTACTTCCCACCTTTAGGCTTCTGTGAATTGTGGTGCTATGATGTTGGGGAAGTCCTGTGTATATGTCAATAAAGCACTGTCTGGCCAATAGGAATCTAGATAGGTGGGGCTAGGAATCCAGAAGGATTCTGGGAAGGAGAAACACGGGAGAGTTCGAGATGTAACGCCATGGGGTAGGAGCCCGGAACTATTCTCCGGTAAGAGACATACTTAGATTAACAATTATGGGGTAATTACTTAAGTCAGAGCTAGCCAGTAAGAAACAAGCAAGGCCAACAGCTTCATAATTAATACAGCGTCTTGTGTGTTTATTTGGGGACTACAAAGCGGCAGAGCCCAGGCAACTGGCGGGAGATAAACCAAAGCGGTTAACAGAGAAAAGCTTCTTTTTACACTATAGACATGGGAATACCTAAGCTGTCTCTTTGGACCCTTGTTTTCGATTCTTCTGTTTATATATCCAGAGACGTAACTGTCAGGTAATATGGTAATTCTGAATGTTTTTAAGGATTGCTAAATTATTTCCCACAACAGTTGTAACACTTTACATTGTGTCTGACAATGTATAGCTCCCTATTCACATCCTCCCTCTAATGAGAGCTAGAAATAGGCAGACAACTGTTGCTTCCTCTTACACCTCCTGCATGCACTTGGTTCACTAACCCTAGATGAACTGACAATCACTGCTTGAAGTCACGAATCGATTTGTCCACAGGCGGCTTCTTAATGCTGGGTCTTGTTCACTGATTCCTCTACTACTTTGTTATTTCTTTCACAGAAAAATTTTCTCCAAATATAGTTAATTCTTTTTTGGCCATTTTGTTGACATGAACCCAGTAATATAGAACTCCAATGATTTTCTGGCATTCCCCTGCACATTTGTGAGGAAAATCAGTTGCACTCTGGAAAAATGTCTGTAACTTAAATCCTATATGAGGATCCTGGGAATCTAAACTGCCTTTTTAGCAGTATAATAAATATATTTATTTTGTGTGGTATTAAATCTCTTCTTCACAATTGTATTTAACATCATAGCAAATAAAACCTAATAAAATACTGGAAAGAGAGGAGGAAGTAGCAGGATATTACAATAGTCCAGATAGGAAACAATGAGGCATAAACTGGAATGGCAAAATGCTGTGAAAACAAAAAGACAGAAACCTAGGGCCAAAGCTATTTTAAGTGAAATATGTATGTTTTCAATGCTAATCCGGATGTCATCTCAACAAAAGCCCTTAACCTGAACTTGAGAAGTGCTATCAGGGCTGGTCAAAGTCCTCAATGGGTAAAAGCGCCTACAGCGCAAGCCCGACAACCTGACTAGCCTGGAGCCCACAGTGGAAGGAAAAAAGGCAAATCCAAAGGCTGGGCCATGCACACCCCACATGCCCTCACAAATACAAAACAAGGAGGACTTTGTAAAGGTGTCCATCAAAGTACCAGAAAGCTGGTTACTTCTCAAACATAAGACACTTATTTTGTCCCAGGGGCATTCAACCAAGTTCACTATAGACTTTGAGAGTGTGTCCCTGAGACTCGGTGTAAGAGTCATTCTGAATGTAAGATACGAAGTCAGTGATGACAGCTGGCACTTGCTCAGCGTTCACTCACACTGAGTAAGAGAGCCAACATGGTTACCTGATAGCCTTCTGTCTTCTTCTGACACCACTTCAACAAGGCGTTCCTCTTAGATCCTCCATATTCTCTTGCCAAAGCTGAGAGGGGGTCTTTCCGTTCCTCCCTGTTTTGTGAAAGAACCCCAAATTGAGACATTTGAGTACCACAATAAGACCATAGCACTGACTGCACTTTTGACTAGATAACATGCACAAAACTAAGGCTGTTTTACAGTAAGACATAGATTTTTATTTAATTTCACAATCAGCTTTTAGTTTGTGGTCCCACAGACCCACAGCTGTCAAGGCTAAGAGGTGGAACTCTACTCCTTATCCATATAGCAACAAAGGTTCTATATCAAGTGCACTCACAAGTAATAGGATACACTCCAGGGCGCTCAACGAGATACTGGTGGCATCTAAAACTGTTCTATGTCTTTTTTCTCTAAAGTGTGTGTGTACATACAAAAACAAAAGGTCTCATTATTTGTCCTGGCTGGCCTCAAACTCACAGAAGCACCTGCCTCTGTCTCCGTGTGTTGTGTTATGTGTCGCCATTCCTGCCCCCCTGTGTCATCACATCCTTTGTAAAGCCCCTCCTGGACTAAACTTCTCTTCAGCTCTCCATGTCTGCTTTGACCCTGATCAGACTTGGTAACTTTGACCCACAATACCAGAACAAATATCCTTTTAGCTGGTTTCCTGGACTCTCCTGAAGAAAGAAAACTACTTTCATCATCTTAGTTCATCCACCCCACTTATCACCTTGAGCCACACCAAAGTGACCCATTTGACTTTAAAAAGGCTCTATCAGCTAGCCATTCAATCATGTCTTCTCCACCTGAGACAGTAGAGACATCAGCCTGTGACTTTCTGTATCTGGCCCCTGAATCGGCACAGCATTTCCCACCAATCACATGTCCTGACTGCATGCTTATTCTTCCCCTTCCTATGCTTGTTCAAGTGACTTATTCTGCCTATAATGTCCCTCCACAGTCCTCAAGGCTTCACCCAGGCTCTATACCTCCTATTAAGCATTCTCTAATATTCTACCAGGATGGCCGTGCTTCAACTTCATAATAGGTAATACATTTCAGATTTCAGAGCTTTTCAGTGTGTTTTTATTTAATTTTTTTAGACAAAGTCTCACTGTGTAGCTAAGGTTGCCTCACAGTTAGTCCTCTTTGCCCCATTGTCTGAATGCTGAGATGGCAGGCATGCCCCGTGTCTACTCGCATTGCTTCTTTCTCTGCATCCTCCTTTCACCTCATTTATTTACTTATGGCACTGGGAATTGAACCCAAGGTCTTTACACATCCTAAGCAAGTATTTGACCCCCTTAGTGACACCCTCCCCAAAAGCCAGCACCAGATTTTGGGGTATTTGCACAGATTTTACCAGGAGAACATCTCTAATTTGAAAATCCAAAGTCTGAAACATTCTGGCCTTCGTGCTGGCATGCACTTGGGTTGTCAGACTAGGGATGCCCCATCTACACTGACTTGGCCATTTCTAGTTTGAAACAAAACAAAAGTGTCAACCCTTAACAGCACAGAAAGAGAAAGGGGAGTGCCCAGATACACTGACCAATAAGCCGATCCTTCATTCTGAAAGGCCAGGAAAGATACACAGGACACATTGCCTACCTTATTCGGCTCCGGGTGCTTGGAGTGACTGATGCCGTGGGCGAGGAAGACAGGGAGAGCTGTGGTGACGTGGTGCCCATAGCCATGAGAGAGGCTGGCGACGCTCCCTCAGATGCAGAGATGTCCCGTTTCATTTCCTCACTACTTCGTCGAGACACTGTGAGAAAGTCATCATGCATATAAACCAGTCCAGCCACTGTGGAGCTCACGATGGAGGAGTCACACAAAACTAAGGTTACAACTACTGGCTGTTCAAATCGATATAATATAGTCACTTGTATGTCAATGAGGACTCCAGCACCATTCACATTAGCTGAACTGTAGAACCAACCTCGGTGACTTAACAACAGAAGAAGGGATAAAGCAACTGTAGAGTACATACACAGTGGATTTCTTTTCCCAGCCAAAAAGAACAGTTTCATCATTGCAGGAAAAGGGATGCAGTTGGACTCTAAATAAGATAATCTTGCAACATTTTATATTATTTACACAAATTAAGACAGTCTCACTAGGCAAATATATGATTTTTCTCATTTGTGGTTTTGAGATAGTATACAGGTCATAAAATCATAAGTCCATATGACATGAAAAAAAACTGTCTAGGGAACAAACAGAACTCAAGGGAAACAAAGAAAGGGACCAGGAGGAAGATGGGGGATATGATCAACTTACAGTTGTATAAAAATCCTATGTAACATAGTACCATGAATAAACACAATGCATTTTCTAATTTCAGAATAGGTTTCTAACCAGACAGTGGTGGTGCACACCTTTAATCCCAGCACTCAGAAGGCAGAAGCAGGCGGATCTCTGTGAGTTCGAGACCAGCCTAGTCTACAAGAGCTAGTTCCAAGACAGTCTCCAAAGCCACAGAGAAAACCTGTATCGAAAAACCAAAACCAAAAAAAAAAAAAAAGGGAATAGGTTTCTGTGAGTGAACCTTTTCTTGATTCTTTTTTTTTTTTTCTCCTGTTTGCTTTGTCCTATTCTGGTTTGTTATTATTATTATTATTGAATCCTGTTTGTTTCCTAATGGGAGAGAAAGAGTGGGTGTGAATTTGGGTGGGTAGGGAAGTGGGGAGGATCTGAGAGTTTGAGTAGGAGAACAACAGAATATAGTGTATGGAACAGAATCAGAGTATATGTATGAAATCTATTTCAATAAAGAAAAGGAAAGAAAACTCTAGGAAGAAAATATCTCAGAAAGATTAAGAGTTATTTTTAAAAATTTGATATCTAGAGATGGTTTTCTTAGAGAAAAAGGACAGAATGCTTTGTCAAATAATGTTTTAACTGTCATATGTTGAAAAATTATAATTGCACATCTTTAAGAAGAATAAAGTGATACACATGTTTTAAATTTTTTTAGTTTGAGTTCTTGAGATTTTCTTCTGAAGATTCCTAAAGAACAACTGTTACCCTGTGAGAGGAAGAACTAACACTTGATCTTACTGATTACTGGACAGTATTTACTCTTCACTAAAAACACTCATACAGCTGGGAATTTATATCTGGAATCCCTACACTTTCAAAACTGAGGCAGGAGGACTACCATGAATATGAGGTCAGCCTGGGCTACAGAATGAGACATTATCATAAAAAACTTTTTAAATTTAAAATCAAAATCCGTGAAAAGATTGGCAGTGGAAATACACAGTGTATCACATCTTTGTTAACAAGTGCCTTGTTACCATGTAGCATTCAGAGGGTCTACTAGGTACACAATGAGTACTATACATACATAGCTAAAACCCAGAGGACATTTGCAACTACTCACCCCTACCCAGCACCAACAATTAAAAAAAAAAACACCCCTTTTAAATGTAGCAAAACACTGCTAACAGGGCAGAGAAAAGATGCTTATTCACAGAGCTAGATACAGTTCTGGACCAGGCTACAGTTTCAAATACACACAGAAAACTAAAAGTTAATTTTGCAAGTCTGACATAGAGGAAAACAACAAAACAAAACAAAACAAAACAGTGTCTTGAACTCTGTAGTCTTCCTGCCTCAGCCTCTGCCAGTAAACACAGGGTGTGCTGCCACACCCACTCTGGCTGCCACGCAGAGCTGGATGAATTCAAGACAAGCACAGGCAGCGTTAAAGTGTCACCTTAAAGATCCGGAAGACGCTTTCTCCTATTAAATGACCTAACAATAACATCCTCACATGTTTTTAAGCACAACTTTATGGATACTCTTTTTTTCCAAGTATGTTGTTATGTCTTCAGTCAGTAAGTGTTTAAAGTGATATGCTAAGACTCTGAGACAAGATCAACATCTTATGTACGTGATGACAAGCCTGCATTGCAGTAAGCTGGGAACGAGGGTGGGTGGAAAGAAGGCAAAAGTGTACATGCGCACTCCATGTAGTGGAGGACACTAACCATACCACGGCAGCGTTATCAGCAGTTTCCTTATCCAGGTGCAATTGAAAAGGCCACAAAGGAAGATAGTATGAATTACTGAAAAAGGCAAGAGCCAGCCCAGAAGACAAACACAATAAGCCTTCAAGAAAGTCGTTGTAGGATGACTTTATCATGCTGGCTAACTCAGCTTCCAGAAAAATTTTGGTGTGTTTTCTTCAAATCAGTCATTGCATACCTAACTCTCTCAACTTTCACAAAGATGTGCCTTCATGTGTCATCTATCGTAATGCAGGTAACTGAAAACTTCTAGGAGTTTTTTCAGACAGTCATTACCTGAGATGGTCTTGGCACTTTCCATAGCAGGGACTCTGGGGAGAGAAGCAGGTCGGCTAGTTGAAGATGTTCTCAGTAGATGCTCTGCACAGGTGGAAAGTCACAAAGGTTACTGTGAATGCTGAGGCAGTCAGAGTACAAGAAAGGTGACTTTTGCTTTCCTTAACTTAGCTCATCCCTCTTCCTAATCCAAGACCCTGCAAGCCCCAAATAGCATGTTTATTAAAAACCACCTCCATAGACATGAAAAACATTCCAGGTCAATAATGTGTTTCTAGAGACGACAGTGAGATAGTACACACGTTTCTATCATTTGATGCCACTTAGATCTTCAAAGCAACTGAATCAAAATTATGAGGCCCCTTATTATTTGGGCCTAAGGAACAAATTAAATAAAACCTAGCCCCTCTGTGCCTAAAGGGGCATCACACACATATACATATCCACAGACAGACTTGGATGATATAGTTGTAATTCCATAAAAACAACAACACATTATGCAGCCACAGAAGAACAGTTCATTCTTATCAGGCAGGAGACGGGGATTGAAAAACACAATGGTATTAAGCTGGGCCTTACTAGCAAAGAAAGGGATTGGGAACTGCATTTAAGCTATACAATAGGAACAAAGACGCAAATTAGAAGAAAAAGGGGCATGTTTTGATAAAACATGGGGTATATGGACATCAGGACATGAGGGAGGGGTCTCCCTCAAGGAGGATGATGCTGACTGGGAGCCTTTACTACCCCACCTGTGGGCTCTAGTCTGAGGGCTAGTCTAGTCTCATTGCTCCCGAGAGGCTGGAAGGACACAATCAGACGCTGCCTCTATTATCACCTCAGCTTGGTTCTTGGACCCAAGCTTTATTAGGGGTCTCTCTAGTTCCTCGAACACTGGGGCAACCTTTCTGGCCCTGCTTTTCTCCCTTCCTGCACCTGTTTTATCTACGACTACAAACCCAACAGGCTGTTCTCAGGCTAAAGGACATGAATGCATGTGTTCTGTCTAGCCAGAATCTGATATGTTAGGGAAAAATGACTAGTGTAAAACTAAACAATAATGCCTGTATTTAATAAAGACTATTATTAGCCTTGTTTTCCAAGAATACCCGCCCACTTCTTTTTTTAAACATATTAACTATTTAGTGGCTGAAAAAAGGGTCAATGATAAAGCATGCTTTAGCATGCATGAGGCCCTGGGTTCAATAATAGGCAACAACAACCAAAAAACAAAAACCAAAAGAACATAAAAAAAAAAAAAAGGAAACCTCCAAAGCTATATAGAGAAACCCTGTCTCCAAAAACCAAAAAAAAAACAAATAAATTAATATCAATTAAAAAAAACAAAAACAAAGGAATTACTAATTTAATTGATACCTCTCTAAAAACACCATAATATGAATAGTAATGACATATAGTATTGTTTCCAAATAATTTTCTTTTAAAAAATATATTTTATTTTTAATTGTGTATGTACACATATATGCACATGAACACAGGTTCCTTGGAGATGGAATTACAGGAAGTCATGAGCCCTAACATGGGTACTAGGAACCAAACTCCAATCCTCTGAACAGGCAGTATGTACTCTTAAGCATTGAGCCATCTCCCCAGCCCCCAAAGAGTATTTTCCAATAGTCTTGGGAGCATCTAGATTGAAATAAAATGTAGTGCTTTCTACGTAGGAGTCCCAGGGAATAGGAAGGATAGCTTATATTATACATAAGAATAGGACAGATGCAGATTGAAATCATTAGTGATTTCATCATAAACACACATCATTTTTATGCAAACAGCTTACAAGTATCAGAGTCCCAAATCCTATTAGCTTTTTGTTGTTGTTGTTGTTTTTCTGAGACAGGGTTTCTCTGTATTGTTTTGGAGGCTGTCATGGAACTCGCTTTGTAGACCAGGCTGGCCTCGAACTCACAGAGATCCACCTGCCTGTGCCTCCCGAGTGCTGGGATTAAAGGCGTGCGCCACCAATGCCCTATTTCCTATTATAGGAAAATATTGCATGCACAAATTCTTACAGAACAGAAATAGAAATCAGTTTTATTTACTTATTGGTGTATGTGTGCACCTGTGTGTTTGTCTGTACATGCACACGTGGAGGCCAGAAATGAAAATCAGGAGCTATTCACCTTGTTTTTTGAGACAGGATCTCTCCCTGGTCCCTGGGTCTTGTCACTGAGTCCCTAGATTTGACTGTCTCTGCCTCCCCAGTGCTGGGCTTAAAGTATGCAACCCCGCGCTCAGTTTTCACATGGGTCAAACTGAAGACCTCAAAGTTGCATAGAAAGCATTTTGTCAACTGAACTAACTCTTCAGTCCCGGAATCAATATTTTAAATTTAGTCAATTATGAACCTGAAAGATCATTTCCTTAAAATCTTGTCTCCCAAAGAACAACACAGCAAATTAAGAAAGTAATAAACAAATTATAAAGACAAAACAAGTAGTGTTTAGCCAGATGCAGTGGCACACACATTTAATTTCAGATGAGTCTCTGTGAGTTCAAAAAGCAAACAGGGAGTGTCAGTTATGGATGGGAGCACCCAGCTTGCTCATTCCCTGTGGGAAAGTGGCCCCTTATTCAATCTTACCCCTACCTGTACACACCGGGAAAATGCTCATGAAAGTTAGTCCCGACACTTCATCTCATTTGTCTTTTTCATACTGCACGTCTCAAGGTTCACACCTGTGTCTCATTTCAGCATGCAGTCCCTGTCACTATCAAAGAACCTGAAAACAAACCCTGGATTTGGGGCTCTGGAGAGCAGCTTTAGAAGCCAAAGGAAATTAAAAGGAGCCCAACAGATGAATACTCCTGCGAGCTCACTAAAATATTTTAATGGACTTTTATTTGAACATCTGAAAACCCTCCTCTGCTCTGGCTTCTTCTGCTTTGCTATTGACGACTTATGATGCCAGTAACTCTGCTTCTCCTCACACCTCTTCCAGGCAGTCAAGGACTTCGTTTCTCCCCATACCTGGTTGCTAACAAAATAAAACTACTCGTGTACTCACAGGGACTCTTAGATTGCTCCACTGGCAGGGGAGACCCTGACTGCCATGCCCAATTAACCCTCCCAACTAGAAGAAGCCAGGTAAGTCACTGCCCCAACTCCATAGCAGCAGGTAGGTTTACCTCTTCAGAAGGGATAAAAAGAAGCTGTGTAAGAAAGGGGAAGAACTGTGAGAAACTTTTTCTATCAAACACAATTAGTCCAGCAAGAACCTTCACCCTCCTTTGCACCATGATTAGCCAATTGCATCAGACGGTGAAGCTGACCTCCCACCAATGGGATGAGATGCCACCTACATCACAGATGAAAGACAAGCTATTCTGGTGAAGGCATTCACTAGACCTGTTTAAGTTCTGCCTGGTCCTTTTGGAAAAAAAGAGAAATTGCCTTGCTAAATTACTTTCATTTTGTGTTCATGTGTTCCTTTGTAAAACCCTGAGCTTATTCATTTCCAATAGCAGTGAGGTTGAAATCAGAAAGATAAGTAATAGTTTTTATACAAGAAAAAGGAAATTCAGAAGGGAAAACTCCTGGCTTAAAGCCCAGCAGAACAGCGCTGAGGAAAGTGCAATGGGAAAATGCAGCAAGGCGAAGCTCCACAGGAAGAGAAAGGCAGGCGGTCGAATCATTTTAAGGAGCTTGAACTTTCTCCTGTTGGCAGGGGGAGCAAATGCAGGTTTCATCAGCCTGGCATGCTGGCACACTCCTATAATCCTAGCACCTAGGAAGCAGAGATGATGAAGAATTTCAGTCCTCAGCTCCATAGCAACTTTGAGGCCATTCTGGGCTATGAAGAGACTTTGTCTTAAAAAGTAAAACCAGGGAGGGGAATGATATGGAGGGAGTCAAGTTTTTAAGGATGTAGCTCCTGGTACATCAACCATGCTTCAGTGGATGGCCACAGACCCAGCAGTACATGCACAGAACAAACGAGTTTATAATCAATTAAAAGCAGAAGGAGAAGAGTATGCAAAGCTGAGGTGGGGTCCTGGAGGAAGTTAAGGGGAAAGCTGGAATTGAATATGGTGAAAATAGACTGTATGGCTTTGTCAAAGAATGCATTTAAAAAGTTATTTTCAAAAGGGATGCTGGAAAACCAGTTCTTGCTTTAAACTCCAAGTATGACTGGAAGAGGTGGTAGCCATTCTACGCGGAGACAACCACCGCAGCACTTAAGTCCCCCGTGCAGTCCAGCTCGTGTGTAGAGAACCCCATTCCCACTGTAAAAATCTAGGGCAAGGGAAGACATGCTCATCTGAAGGCATAAAAGAAAAAAGGAATTGGTCTCTTCACAGATGTTCAACTTTCAACAGAGAACTAGAAAAACACAATGATAAAAGGCTAGACACAGAACTTATACCTATAATCCTGGCACACAGGAGGCTGAGACAGGAGGATTAAAATCTGAGTCATGACTGGCAAGACGTTTCAGTGGGTAAAGAGCTTGGTCAAACAAGCTTGACTACACTTAAGTGTGATCCCCAGAAACCACGTGGTAGAAGGAAAGAGAACTAACTTCCAAAGAGTTGGCCGTCCCTGACCTCCATAAGCAATCTGTGACTCACAAACACACAAGACAGACAGACAGAGCATTTGAAAGTTTGAAGCCAGACTGGGCTATATAAGAGAAAAATTTTTTTAAAGAAGGGGAGAAGAAAAACACCAATATATCCAGCCCTCTACCGCAAGACAGAAGGCAATTAGAAGAAGAAGAAGAAGAAGAAGAAGAAGAAGAAGAAGAAGAAGAAGAAGAAGAAGAAGAAGAAGAAGAAGAAGAAGAAGAAGAAGAAGAAGAAGAAGGAAAGAAAGAAAGACAAAAAAAATTATCAGTCTCAGATACGGTACTGAGACAGGGCATTTAAAATGTGATTAGCTTATTCCTAATGGGAATGGTAGAAAACAATATGCAAAATCAGCTAGACTCTCTTAGGTTTTGTTGTTTTTTTTATACTTTCCATCTATCCTGACAAATCAGAAAACTAAGAAAAGCTGTGCAAGTCATGCCCCAAGATTCCCGCAACTGAAAAAAGGTTGCTGCCCTGAAGGACCACGTGGGCCTCAGTGTGCAGAGGCTGAGGGCACTGCTGAATAGCCTAGCCTTCACAGTCAACCCCTAAAACCAAGGTCTGTAGAGCCCCAAACTCAGCAGAGCCAAGGCTGACAGCCCTGTAACAGCTAACAAGTCTTTCAAAGATTTATTTTTATTTATGGGTATGCAGTTTTTGCCTGCGTATGTGCCCACAGAGGCCAGAAGAGGGCCCTGGGTCCCCTGGAACTGGCTAGGGACAGTCATAAGCTGTCGTGTAGTTGCTGGGAACGATCCCTAGTCCTCTGTAAGGATACCGAGTATTCTTCACTGCTGAGTCATCTTTGAAGTTTCAACAAAAATTTTAAAATTGAAAAATAGGATGTTAATATAGAAGAACTAAGGTAGAGGAGTAAAACCATGGTCAATGGACTCAAGAAAGCAGATGAAAAGAACAGGACAAGGCAAGCAGAAAACATTTATCCACACGCCGGCTTTAGTTCAGACACATGAACAAGCATGTTAACACTGATTGGTCTAAATTAGTTATATTGAAATAGGGTCTTACTGTGAAGCCCAGACTTGCCTAGAGCTCAGTCTTCCCACCTTGCCAACTTGAGTACTGGGCTCACAGGCATGTGCTACCATATTTGGCTTTGCAAGATAAATCTTTTCCTTTGTTTTGCTTTTATCTATGTCTGTGCATTAAAGCGTGGCTTTTTTTTTTTTTTTTTTTTTTTGGTTTTTACGAGACAGGGTTTCTCTGTATTGTTTTGGAGGCTATCGGTCCAGGCCGGCCTCGAACTCACAGAGATCCACCTGCCTCTGCCTCCCGAGTGCTGGGATTAAAGGTGTGCGCCACCACCGCCCAGCAAAGAGTAGCTTTTTAAAGCATGTTGTTGGGTCTTAACTTTTTTATGTGTTCTGATGGTCTGTAAAAAAAATGGGGATGACCGTACTGCACTTTCTGTGAAGAACTGTGACATGCACTCTGTATTACCTATTATAATTTAAAGGTACCAGCGTGGAGCGTGGCACACACTCGTACCACCACACTCTAGAACATCAGCAGGAAGATCTAGAACTCAGTTCAAGGCTAGTCTGACTATATAGCCAGACTCTGTCTCAGAACAAAAGAATAGATTTCTCATGAAAGCTTCATTTACTAATAACTTGTTTCTGGACTTGTAGTTACTACATATTAGTAAAAACTTTTGAAAAAGACATACACCAAGTTGGCAAGCATAATGTCAGAGCCAAGAAAATAAGCTAATTAGCCAAAGAATCTAAAAATTAACAAAAGAGTAAAACGTTAAGGACATGTTAGCTATACCTTGCACAGGAATTTCTCCATAGTTTGATCTCTTATCTGACAGGGCTGTCAGAGGCTTGGATGTTGAGATTGGTCCACTTATGGAATGTCTCTGAAATAAAACCAGAAATGTTAAATCTAGTACTGAGACTCACAGAGAAAACAAATGCTTCAAACAGTAGTTATCTAGTCGCAAACAATGCATAATTCCTTTGTTTGCTATAGTAAAGATATAAACATGCAGTAGACACATACAATGTATCATCAGTACACTTAAAAAATAATAAACTTGGGGGCTGGAGAGACAGCTCAGCAGTTAAGAGCACTGACTGCTCTTCCAGAGGATCTGGATTCAATTCCCTGCAACCACATGTAGTTCACAACTGCCTGCAACTTCAGTTCCAGGGGATTCAACACCCTCACATAACTGATAAACATGCAAGCAAAATACAACTGCATATAAATAAGAATTAAACAAAGTATTTTTAAAAAGTAAATAAACTTATTATGAGAAAAATATGTATTCCTATGCAGTTTTAACAGCCAGCATCCTCTTCACTTGGTTTCCTTACAATTCTGTATTAAAACATCATAACTAGAACACTGACATCATCAAGACATAGGGCACTTCCTCCCCAGAGGATGCTTTCTTGGGGCCCTTTTATAGTTACAAATACCACTGACCCTGACAGCTTCCAGCACTCTGAATACAATTTAATTCCTCTGCTTGAAGAGATTCTTCAACTACCACATGCCAATGTGCTAAACACAAAATTAGGTTCCAAACTGAAATGTGGATGTGTTTCTATTGTGGGTTTATTGTTTGCTTGTCTCCTGCTCGAGATTCGACAACTGCCCAGGTACAGTGTGGTCTTTAACTCAGCATCCTGCCAACAGCAGTATTAAGTGTTTCCTCACCCCTGCATACACAGCAGCCTGAAACACCCCCCCACCACTGCTCTAGCCCGTAATATACGTACCAGACCACCTGTGCATCTCCCTGTGATTCCATTTCCTTGGCTTTTATCCAGCCCGCTATACATACCTCTAAAGACAGGATCTCACTGTATAACCCTGGCTGTCCTGGAACTCACTCTGTAGACCAGGCTGCCCTGCCTCTGCCTCCACACCCCAACCCTCAGCCATATTTAAAAAAAAAAATCTAGCAAACTTCTAGCTACTTATTTCACTCTCCCAAAAAACCTATGCAAAGTTTTGGCTATGACAGGGGCTGATAGCTTACTGTGAATTTCATTTCCATTTCCTTGATGACTAGTGATGCTGAAGACCTTCTCATATGCTGACATATAAATAGCTTGCCCTTCAGGCGGAGCTCTGTGAGTTCGAGGCCAGCCTGGTCTACAAAGTGAGTTCCAGGACAGCCTCCAAAGCTACAGAGAAACCCTGTCTCGAAAAAAACCAAATATATATATATATATATATATATATATATATATATATATATATATATATGTATATATATATATATATATATATAAATAGCTTGCCCTTTTACTACATGTTGTTTTCAAGTTATTACAAGCAAGCCTTCTCTAAGACAAGTAAATATTATGACTCTATTTTCCTATGTATGGTATGCCTTTGCTGATTTGTCTTGTCTTTAGGAACAAATTTTAAAAATCCTGATGCCCAAGTATCAGTGACTCATGTTTTTGTGTGTGTGTGTGTGTGTGTGTCCATCCTAAATAAGAAGCATTTGCATGCTCAAAGAACACAAAGATTTTCACTCATGTTCCTATCTATAAGCTTTTTATATAGTGTTATAATTTGGGCCTATGGATCAACTTCAGTATGTTACACTCAGAATCTATGCCAACACTCATACTAAATAATCCTGATGGTATGTCATATGCTTACCTAGCTATTCAGAACCCTGTGTAGACTACTCCTACCCTCATACTAAATAACCCTGATGGTATGTCACTCGCTTACCTCGTTATTCAGAACGCTATGTAGACTACTCCTACCCTCATACTAAATAACCCTGATGGTATGTCACTCGCTTACCTCGTTATTCAGAACGCTATGTAGACTACTCCTACCCTCATACAAAATAACCCTGACATTTGTGCTGAAAATCAGCTTGTCTGCCCCAGGACTCTACTCACTTTCTGATCTCTCTTCAGTGAAACGTAACGTTAGTGTCATAAAATAAATGCTGAAATCATGCACTCCAAATCTTCACATGTTTTACATACTCAAATTCCTTTGCATGCCTTCTACTTTGTTGGATTCTGTTAATGACTATAAGACTGTTCTGGCAGGGAAACAACCTACTATATTACTGATGTATGCTGCATGACAAAGTATCCCCATACTCACAGTGACTCTAAACAATAAACATTTATGATCTCATGATTTCTATGGGTCTAAAAGCTATCTGGATAACTCTAGCTCCAGGTCTTCCGTGAGAGGCAAACCTAGCTATCAATTTTCACAAGACAGACAGGAGGAAAGGTATAGGGGGGTCTTGAAAAAGTTCATCCACAATGGTTGATGGTGAGCTTCTGAGCTGCTGCTATGCTTACTCACATGGTCCTCCACAAGAACAAGAAGCAACCACCCAGCTTCTAAAGGATTCCCTCAGAATGAGTGAACCTGAGTAGTAAGAGGAGTGAACCCAAGAGGCGCACTCACTGCAGAAGCCAATCATTTTATAACCTTCCTTGGGAAGTGCCATTATATTAATTCTGCTATACTCTATTCATTACAGACAAATCATGAAGTCAGTCAACATGCAACAAGAGCAGAGTACACAAACAGTAATTACCAGGAGATGAACTCACGGGAGAGTTTACAGACTGCCTACAATAGCTACTTCCAGCTCTTCTAATCCTTTTAGAAGTTACTTTTGAGGCCTTTAGGTCAGACCTAGAGTCAAGCACCTGAGATCTATCTGGATATATTTTATTTCCTACCTGTTCAAGGAGGTTTCTTCATAGCGGCTGATACGGAATTACATAGACAACTGAAAGTGTTTGTCTGAAAAGTCTGTGCAACTGTTGCTGAAGGATTCTTCCAACCAGGTCTTGTAGGCCTTCACTCCATGCACAGTCAGACAGCGGCCTCAGACAAAGATTTGAAAGGATACCCATGGAAATGTCTGGACCCTCTGCAGCTTCCTCTCCCCAGGGAGTCTGCCCTGAAAATTCCAGTAGTCTCATTTTCCTTGAATGCTGACTTGTGTCCTCAGAGCTAACTAATTGGTTTGTCCTTCTCTGTTCTAAACCACCACTTAGAAGCTGCATCCAGGAAAACAATGCGAGCCACAGCAGGACTTCCCTCATCTGCTGGTATTCTGTTCAGGGACCACAGTAGTGCAATATCTGAAAACAATGGTTTCCTACATTTTGTCCAGCTTTCCATTTGTTTGTGACAACTCTTGCTATTTCACATGACAAGAATCATTTTCCTGTTCACAGAGGTTTTAAAAAACTAACACACTCAATCTTGGTGCTGTCTCAAGAGATTCTAGGTCATGAAGATGATGTCTAGGAATCTGTTTCTAAACTCTTTTTGTGGTTTTCTGTGCAGCTAGACTTGAGAGACACCGGACAACTAACCATGTATTAAAGAGCATTATAGTGAGTTTTGTTTCTAGATAAGGGTATTTTTAATCCTATCTACAAAAAGATGTTACAAAATGATGTCTTAGACAAGAAACTTAACAGAGAAGCTTTGTCTTACTCATCTTATTTGAGGTGTTTTACTTGGTATCTTGCTTTGCATCTTTAGGTTTTCTTTTAGAAGTCTGATTAATAGTGAACATCTAAAAAGCATTAATTCTGCAGGAAAAACATGGAGCTTCCTTGCTTTCCTTTTAAACCAAGATGACATCTTGCATAAACAGGAAAATGCAAACCACTGGCTGAGAAACTACACTTACCCCAGACTTTAAAAGTCCACTCACAAATCACAGGGCCAATCATTAACCCATCACAGAAGTCAAAAAGAAAATTCTCCAAGCCCTTATTTCAGGGTGAACAGCAGCCACAGCTACCCTTATCACATTTTTCCTTTGGCTACTCTCACCATGCTAAGAGTATTTCACTCCAGCCACACACTGAAAGCAGCTGGGGAAATGGCATGACAAGAAGTTTCTTGAGCTCCACATAGAACAGCCTTCTGCCTTGCTCCTGGCTGCACTCCAATAATGGCAACAAATATCAACTCTGAAAGTCATTTCTAATGGATCAGCAATGTTATATCCTTGAGCTTGACTGTGACAAATGGCCCCTAATGAACAACTCTTCTCTCAATTCAAGCCTTGTGCAGACACATTTAACTTTTGTGTTGTGTAAGTGCAAGTGTGTAGATATGCACACTTGAGTTCAGGTGTCCAAGGAGGCCCAGAAAAGAGTGTCAGATCCACCCCCGGAGCTGGAGTTATAGACCACTGTGCGCTAACCCTCATGAGTGTCTGGACTTAGGTCCTCCCCAAAAGTAGAAGGCTCTCTTAAGTGCTCAGGCATCTCTCCAGCTATTAAGTTTGTAAGCTTTGCAGTCATCTGCTGGACAACAGAAGATAAAATATGCCAGCAGCTACATACTCAGAGAGATATCACAGTTTTCCAGAAGAGCATCACAATTCATAATTTGCCTCTGTTAAAGAAACTCATGGCATTTTACAAGCAAATATTACAAATATCTTTTCTGAGTCCCACTCACCTGAGGCACGTGCGTGACTGAAAAAGAGAATCTAATGTGCAAATTTAACCTTTCTGTGCCGTCAATGACCCCAGGCACTCACCTGCATGGGGGAAACAGCAGCTGCAGGAGGGGTTTTCATGGGACTTGGACTCAGAGGCGTTCGAGGAATTGCAGCTGCAGCAGCATTTGGTACTGCAAAAATAGCAAGTGAGAAAGTCAATGACAAAACATGGTGCAGGGGGAGTTTCCTACTCATCTCCATGAAGGATTCGCCTATTAGCCAGTGCTCCTAATTTCCTACAAACTGTACACTGTGGACAATGCCTGACCAACGCTTTATATTCACAGGCTGAGCCTATGACCCAGGTATTTCTTCTCCTACCAGACGAACGGTTTGCTTTCTAGGTCTGTACTTCATTTTTGCTATTAATCACATAGCTAAAATTCTTCATAAATCAATGAAATCTAAAGAAAGAAAACAAGAGGGATGGGGCACAACTCAGTGGTAGAGTACTTGTAGCATGCATGAGGTCCCAGGTTCCATCCCCAGCAGCGCTATTCTTGTATCTTTGAGAAACAGAATAAGGGGCAGACACAGCAGCGAACACCTATAATCTCAGTACTTCAAAGACTGGCAGAAGGATTAACAAGTTGAGACTAGACTGAGCTACTTAGCTAGTATTCTAAGTCAACCTGGGCTGTACAGCAGGACCCTGTCTCAAATAATACAAATGCACACACACACATAAGGCAGTCTACAGCTTGTATGAAAGATGGCAGATATGTTTTCAGGGTCAGTGCTGTAAGAGCTACCTCATCAAGAGTCTAGCTAGTTTCTGCCCCTGAAGTGCAGTGTTGTTGGGCTGTACAAAGTAAAAGTAGTAACAGAACCTTGATCTGAACTTTATTCCAATCATAAGACAATTCCAGCATTTTAAAAAGAGGAGACTAGAAGTTTACTGGTTACTAGTTGAAGGTACCTTGAGCTAAAGTCGAGGTCACTAAAAATGAAGAAAGAGAAAGAACAAAGGAGTCCATGTTGGAAGTCAGTGAGGAAAAGGGTTTAAGCCAGAGTCCTAGGTTTCTGGTTCCAGTGACTGAGTAGAACCACACCGACACTAGGCTTGGGGACAATGGAGCTGGTCTGAACACAGGATGCCTAGAGATGCTCAAGTGTCAATGTCAAGGAGGCACTTGGGTCTACAGAATTGAGAAACATGGAGGAAGGTTAGGAGCTAGAGTTATGTATCCACAAGTCTGCGCATAAAGAAGGTATGAGAAATCACAGGAATGAGTGTGACCATCTGGGGACAAAAGAAACTGCTGTGCATGAGAAGTAGGGTGTGCAGCTGAGACCAGACTTCTACAGAGCAGAGTACATTCCAAACCTCTGTGGAACTTGCCTTGACTCACGACACCTAATATGACGCTATGTGACACTACATACTCCGTGGCACTAGATGATACTGCATGACACCATATGCAAGCTGATGACACCGAAAGTAAAATGATATAGAACAGCAACTAGATCAGGAGGGTAAGTCAAGTGACCAGAAGCATAGCCTTGGGAACCACAGACACGGACTCCCTTACCTTGAGATGCACTGTCGAAGGACTTGATGAGGGTTTTTACTGTGGGAGTTGGCTCTGAGGAAGTTGAGGACCTTCTGCTCAGTCCCATCCCTTGCCGCAAGGCTGCCAAATCTCTTTCAACTGCATTCATGTAGTTATAGACCCGACCTCGCTCCTCCTCTTGCCTAACAAAAACAAACAAAAAAAAGTGAGATAAAGGCATTTGTGTGTATGAGTAAAATGCACATTTTTAAACTCCTGATTGAAAAGCATTGAAAGGTATTAGGGTTTGTTTTTGTTTTTGTAAACTGTAACAGTTGAACACAGTGATTGCCTGACCTATTCTCTGTCTGGTAAACAGCAGGAAATGATACTGAAATGCTCATATCAGGTTATGCTAAGCAAGTTAAATAGCCATCAAGTTCCATTTTCATTAAGTGCAGGTGAGGACATCAGTAATCAATTAGCAGTAAATCGGGAGGCAGACTGGCCGCAACCTGACTCAACTGGGAACCTCTGGGTCTGTGCTGCAGGAAGGCGCAGCCCTTCTCAGGCACCTGGGAATTCACTAGCACATCGTCTAGGCTGGTTCCAGCTACAGCACTGTGCTACATGAGGAAATACAAAGCAACGGAACCAAAAGCTCCAGTTCCCTAAGAACCAGAGAAAACTGCCAATCTCCAAAGAGAATCCTTGAAAGAACTGGAAAAGCTCGCTAAATTAATTAAGATCATAAAATATTGTATTCTTCCAAGACAGGCTACAAAACAATACAGAGAAACCCTGTCTCGAAAAAATACATATATATTGTATTCGACTCAGTGAGTTCTAGGCTAGTCTGGTCCATACAGGGACTTCCAGACCAGCAGAGGCTATACAATGAGACCCTGTCTCAAAAAAAAAAGTAAGAATATTTTATTAAAAAATTATTTTCCAAATACAAAAAAACGCTAAGAAAAATAACAGTCTTACATTTAAAAAATATTATATATATATATATATATATATATATATATATATATATATATATATATATATTTAGCCAAGCACAGTGGTGCACGCCTTTAATTCCCCACACTTAGGAGGCAGAGGCAGGTAGATCTCTGTGAGTCCAAGACCACCCTGGTCTATATGTAGTGAGCTCCATCCAGAACAGCCAGGTTTACATAGACCCTGCTCAAAATAAGTAAATAGATAAATAAACAAGAATGAGAGATGTATTTAACTGCTTAGAAGACAACTATATTCTCACTTCTTCTGTTCACTCTATTGAGATATAAAAATGCCAATCTCAAGCAAATGTGTGTTTGGATTAGGGAAGAATATTTTAACAACCTTTTCAGATAACTACAGCTATTCTATGATACACACTAAAATGCAACAATGGGTAGGCACTAGATTTTTGCTAGGCTAGGAAAGTAACTTAGTCCTTAGCCTCCGCCTAAACAGACTGAAGGCCCTGGGTTAAATCTGCGGAGCCAAGGGGAAAGCTTAGTTGCAGCCTGAGACACGGTAAAGTACTACAGCACCTGCTGAGCAGGAATGACTCTCTCTCTGTTAGAGAATGTGCACCCCAAGAACGGTAAAGTACTACAGCACTTGCTGAGCAGGAATGACTCTCTCTCTGTTAGAGAACGTGCACCCCAAGAAGAAACAAAGTAGCTACAGTGCAGAAAATGAAGCCATGCAAATAAACTTCTACCCTGTCCACTAAAATCCACGGGTCTATTAAATACTTTGACAGAATCTTCTGCCCACCTAATTCAGTAGCATCATACATTGACCATAAGAAAAGCACTGGCATTACACAGGTTTTTCAAATGCCATGAATCACAGAATACATTTAAGTCATATTTGCTATTACTAATGATAGCACCATAAAACTCTAGGCCAGTGAGATGGTTCAGCAGGTAAAGGTGCTTACTTCCAAGCCTGACAACCTGAGCTTGATGCTCATGGCAGCAACCTGAGAATACACGCGGTAGGAAGAGAAAATCGACTCCTGAAAGCTGCCTTCTCATTTCCACACGTTCAGAATGCACACACACAGAATAAATAAACATAATTAGAGAAAAACAAACTCTTTAAATCTTCATCTTGCAATGGCAGAAAAAAAGTTTTCCAAAATTCTAATGCTCCCTTGAATAACTACATTTCATCATCAACAACAAATACCATGGATGTTTTCCTCAATGGGACAGGCTCTAGTCATTTTCAAGGAACTTCCTATCAGATTCTGAATAGCCAGTTTCTCTCCCAATCATTCTCAAAATAAAAATGCTGTTCCATGAGAAGAAAGAAGCTCAGACTGGAACTGTCACACAAGTATTCACCTCAAGGCAACCTCACACTTGGAAACACAGTTTTAAGCGGAAGTGCCTGCTTATACTTCCCATTTTGTCACACGGAAGGTTGAAAATAGGGCACTCCAAGACTCAAACTTGGTAAAAATAATACTTTTCCCCTTTAAGAGGGAAATCCATGTTTTGTTTCATTTAGGTAGTTCTGCACTTTAAAAAAAAAACTGTTATCATGTGTTATAATGAGATTGTGACTACAAGTGTACTTTGGTATAATAAGGCCTTGGTTCATCAAGTTGACGTTTGCTCTTCACTATCAACGCAAAAATCAGCACAGTGAAAACAGTCAACAGCCTGTTCAGATCATCATGAAGCCTATGTGCAAGGGGTCCTGGAGGATTCCAGGAACCGGTGGTATCACTCTGACAATCACTGGTGTACAGGATGCTGTCTCATCTTTTTTTTAATAGTGTGTGTGGTGTGTGCAGGCCCAGAGAGGCAGAAGAGAGTAATATGTCCCCTGGAACTGGAGTCATCTGACAAGGGTGCTGAACACAAACTTGGATCTTCCGGGAAGAGCAGAAGTTCTCTTAACCACTCAGCTTCCTCTCCAGCCCCAAAGTGCTGCCTCTTTTAGCAGACATTTTTTTGAAATATAAAGACTAATAAACTGTCAGGATCCAATGGAATGATTGTTCAAGAACAGAATTTTACGGCTTGGTGATAGAGTACTTGCCTGGCATGTTTAAGGTCCTAAATTCATCCCCAGCATGATGGATGGATGGATGGATGGATGGATGGATGGATGGATGGATGGATGGATGGATGGATGGATGGATGGATGGATAGAGCCAACTTAGTCACTCAGGGAAACTATCAAATGAGGCATTTCTGATAAGTTATTTATTTAATAATATACAGAGAAAAGAATAACGCCAGCTTTATATCAGCAAGGATTCATTTGGCTTCATTCCAAGTTTTATCTAAGGATGCCAATGAATTAACACTTAGCACCACCTTAGGACCAAGCAATAATTAAATAAAAGCCTATCAAAGATATACTGCTTTTCCCTATGCCTAATTAAGAATTATTCAAAGTGAAGTAAAATCAAATTCTTAAATCGTAATATCAAACACACAAATTCTCTCCCCCACTCAGACAGAGTCCCACTGTAAAACTCAGCACATCCCAGGTATTCCCAATATCCCGTATCACCTCACATTCATTTTTATGATTTTCCAATGATCTGTGTTAGATGTGGAGGTATTACTTTAGAGGTCACCGAAAAAATGGAAATTCCAAAAGTGAGTGATGGGAAGAAACTTCACTGTACCAATCATTTGCTTTTCCAAAATCGGTAACTCAAGTTTACTGGTTGATCACTTTGCAAGCATTAGTTCATTTACTCATTAAGACACTATAACACAGTTCATACTGCCTTCATTCTACAGGTGAGAGAACCAAGGCACAGGGAAATTAAGACTGTTAAGTGAGATCACACATCTACTAGGAGGCAGGGTCAGACAGAAGCTGACTCTGTCTGCTTCCAGACCTATGGTCTGAAGAGAAGTAAGAGTGCTGGGCCGTGATGGTCAAGAAGAAGCCAGCAGCAGCGGTACATCACTAAATCAAGGCTTAGCTGCCCTTTGCTGAAACATGCCATAGGTTTCTCAGAACATACTTGCGTGACTTTATTTCTTCCAATTCTTTTGTGAGTTTCTCGTTTTTCTCCTGAGCCTCGTGTAATCGCCGCTTTAGGTCACCAATCTCTTCTTGGGCTTCGGATTTGATGTCATTTGCAATGACCACTGCAGTTTGAAGATCAGCCTGAAACTGTCGCCATTCTGCAGATTCTTCCTATATTAAAAAGTTAAATTTTGACTTGCAAAGAAGAGCAATGAAGATTTATTTAAAAGCAGTAAAATTTGCTTATGATTAGTTTGCCCTACCAAGTCATACTCTTGAATGGTGACTTTTTGTTTTTAATCTCAAGAGTTGTTGTTATCTATTTTTAACAGACAAAGCAGCTCTTATCAGTGAACTTGTTCTTAAATGAAGGAAAGATTTGCCATCTGGTCTTCCCACCGAGGCATCAAGTATTCAGAGTGCTCAATAAATATTAATGAGAAAACATGTTAGACTTCTCTTCCTCACGCAAGTTTCAAAACAAATCTTATAAGTATTATCAAAAATTCAGAGCTTTACCTCTGGAACTCTTAAGAGGGTATATAAATGCTACATGAAGGTATATAAATGTATATAAACGGTACGTGAAGGTACATAAATGGTATGTGAAGATATATAAATAGTAAGTGGAGGTATATAAATGGTATGTGAACCATACAGTGAAAAACTATAAATACCCTGACATCAAAAACTATCAGAAAAAAAAACTAAAGTAAAGGAAAAGGAAGAGGAAGCCAGAAGAAAAACTGAACTCAATGTAGACAGACACAATCATACAAAGAGGCTGTAAGGAACCGAGTGGTCTGCCGCTTCCCACAGACAAGAAGGATGCGGGTGTGGCTGGGCAGAGAAGTCTCCCCGGGGGCTTCACTTCCCCCAGAGCCACAGCTGGGCCTTGCATGAGCCCTCCAAACCTCAAAGCAATTTTCTAATACCATGAAAGCAGCCAGAACAACTGTGTCAGGGCTCAAGGTCTATGATTAGCACATTCTCCCTCCACATCTTAGCAGCCTGAGTGCTGGCAGCTAACCCAACCCAGAGAATGCAGAAATCCCACATAAAAACAGCCTCGTTTGTGATTTTAAAATCAAAAGTTAATAAACTTTCTTTTCAAAATGTCATACATTTCCTTACTACGTTTCCATAAAATTATCACCCATAAATCACTACCAGTACATCCTCCTACCTTAAATCCGGTCTCAGTCCTCACTTAAAATAATGGCATCTGCTTTCAAGCCCAAAGCCCAGTGTGGCCAATATCCCACTAGAGATTAAAGCCATGGTGAAAATTCCAGAAAACCGTGTTTCCCAGTGAGATGGCACATGAAAATTCGTCCTACCCGCAGTCTCCTGTGAAGTGTCTTGATTTCTCTTTCCATGTCATGCTTTTGGTCTTGGAGCTTTTTAACAGTATCTGAAAAGACCACAAAGATGAACAATTTCTCAAGTTCCTAATGATCTTTCACGTGCAAAAGGAAAGATCTGAAAGAGGTGCTAAGTGATCATCAAAATGGTTCTGCAAAGACTTGCTTACTTTCTTCACGACACTTAAAAGCATGAAAGAATATTCAACCCAAGATTAGAGTTTTTGGGTGGCTTCCTAAGTAAACCGAAAGCAATTGTTACAAACATGCATATTATTGGCGCAAAGCCAATCAAAACAACACAAAAATGTGAACTTTTAATCATAGAAGTTACCACTCTAAACCATGCAAGCATAATTCCCTTTATACCATTGGAATAAATTACAGAAAGGTGAAACCAGTAAAATTATTTATATAACTAATTGCAATATCCAGAGGGCTACCACTTAATCTAAGGATTAGCAGCAGTAAACACAAGAGGAAATCCCATACTGCTTGGTTGGAAGGAAGTTCTGCCTTAAAAGCCACGCACACAGAGAAATACCTCAGGAGGGCACCACACTGTCACTGTCCATCTGAACAGCTGTCGCGCTCAGTGCTCCAACAGAAAAGACTCTTACGTATGGTACCAATCCTTTACTAAGAGTTTGCATATTGATGCTACAGCTCCCTCTCCATTCTCATTCATATTCTTTCTTTCCTCCTCCTCCCACATACACTAATATAAAAACAAATCAATCTTTCAAATCCAGAGCCTCATATATGCTATGCATATGTTTTCAATGGCTGAACTACATACATCCCAGCCATGATACATATATATGTGCACACACACACACACACACACACACACACACACACACACACGAATCTTTTTGATTGCTTTTGAGACATGCTTACATGCTTACTATGTAGCTCTGGCTGTCCTGGAACTCATTACATAGACCAGGCTGGCCTCAAATTCAGAGATCTGCCTGCCTCTATCTCCTGAGTGCTCGGATTAAAAGGAGTATGCCACCACACTCAGCTTTCTTAAAATCTGTGGGAGGGGAGAGGGGGACAAAAGGAGAGGGAGGGAGAAGGAGGGAGAGGGAGGGAGAAAGAGGGAGAGGGAGGGGAAAGGAGGGAGAGGGAGGGGGAAGGAGGGGATAGACAGAGAGAGAGAGAGAGCGCGCGCATTTGTGCACTCAAGAGAGCAGATGTAAAGGTCAGGGAACACCTTTAAGAGCTGGTTCTTCTCTTCCACCGTGGGATGTAGGGCTGAGCTCAGATTAATCAGGCGTGCATGACAAACATTTCTACCTAGTCTCTCATGATATGAATTAACTTCAGTAATAAAATACTGGTACGAACTATTATTAGAAGCACATAATATTTTCTAAAGTTGGATGAAATGAGACAAAACAATGGAGAGACAGAATAAAATGAGATAACAGGGCACAGAGGGACAGTCTAATTTTGGCAGCCAATAGTTAATGTCTCCACTAGGAGACATTGCCCCAAAATTGCTTAGTGAAGTCAGGGCCCATGAAAGTGTTCACAATTTATTCATTAATTCAACAATCATCTTGTAAGTATAAACTATGAATCAGGGTGTTTTCTAGATAATGAAGATATAGAGAAAAAGATACGGTTTCCACCTTCTTACAGATGTTTTTAAAACAAGCTAATGCTGCCCTGAGCTAGTAAAGCAGGATGACTTCATCGTCAAAGGACTAAACTTCAGAGGCTGTGTCGTGGGGAAGCTACTTCCAACCTCCTTTAACCTGGAAACTGAGGGCCGGACAGTCCAGTGGGGGTGAGGCGAACACGCTGAGTGGACAAGTCCACGGCCCTGTTCTCTGCCTACAGAAACAAAGGTGACTCTGAAACCAGCAGGGAAGCCCGGCCCCTTGTCAGCTCACACATGGGTGGATTCAGACACTCGACACAGACGGAGTAAGGACAAAAGCTGAAGACACCAGAGTCTGTCTTTCCTTACACTCGGCCCACTTCTGTACAAGAGCTGCTCGTTGTTTTGTTCTGAGTCAAGGGTGCCTCCCCATTTAGCCCTTGCTGGCCCGAACTTGCTACCTAGACTAGTCTGGTCTTGAACTCACAGAGAGTCACCTGCTCAAGATATTTTATAAGAAAACCAGTCAAACAAAAAAAATTCTCTTAAAAATTGGCTACAAAATGTTTTCCCTGGGGGCTAGAGAATTAGGCCAGTGGTTAAGAACACTGGCTGCTCTTGCAAATGACCCAGGTTCAGTTCCCAGCACCCACATGGCACCTCACACCTGTTTGCTGACCCCAGCTCAAAGGGATCCAAGACACATCCACACAGGTGAAACACTCAAACGCAAACAAAACTGAAAACTTGTTTTCCTTTTCTTCTGGTCACAAAGGACATCGTCAGACATAATTCACAAGACAGCCAATTGTATTATTACTCACTTTTAGCGCCTGCCATCATGATTCTGTGGCGCATTAAACTCCTGTGCGTGCTCATCTTAGACTGGTTATAAAGCTCTAATTTCATAAATCCCTTTTGTTCTGGTCTTTTCTTCGCCGACCTCTACACAGACATCACACAATCATTCTTAACAAGGATATTTGTTGCTGCTGGTCCTGCACATGAATTACTGCCCTGTTATTACTCCTTTTAAATAAAAGGAAAGCTGTCAGAGAAAGGACATGTACAAACAGCATAAACTGTACTAACCGGGTCTTTGGGGATGTGATTTTAACTCTATGACCATGTTTGTACTTTTCCTCTGAGACAAAAAGGTAAGAAATGGCAACAAGCTTTTCCTTCCTGATAACAGGAGTTTCCATTTAAGTTCTTTTTTTAGAGACTACTGCCACCTAGCACAATCGAGGGTCACAGGAGAAGGAAACATCCCTCCTCCTCAGGAACTTCAAATACATTCCTTCCTCTCCACTTTCCCTAGCATGAGCAACACTGCCACCTACTGTCTTCAATTCAAATTCTCCCAAAAATCAGAACCATTATCGCCTTGTGTTTAAATAACAGATTAAACCTCTATTCTTACAGTGCTATTTTTGTTTTGGAAATCAGATAAATTGCTGTTGCATTATTATTCCATCTAACTTTGTTCCGAACAGTTCTGGGCACTGCCCTTCCTGCTTAGTAATGGCTCCATAATTGTCTCACCGCCAATGACCCTGACAACAAGAGTGATCCATGCTAGCTAGCTCTGGTTACATGCCCAGTCATGCAGATGTTACCGGGCAGTGACCATGGGCCCAAGCTCAGGCTACAGTAGGTACTCTTGACGACTTACTAAAATCATCAACATCCTTAACAACCTTCCTAGCCTCCAAAGCCCAGGAAGCTCTCTGGGCACTAACTACCATCAGTTGTTTCCTAGTGAAAGAACTAAGTGTGATTTTCAGAGGAAGGGAAAACCAAGGGTGAATAATCTGTAAAAAGACGCAGATAATGTGCACAGGACCTAGAAGAAGACACAAATGAGTTTCAAATGAACTATATGCAGCTTTGCATTATTCTTACATTTTGCTCAGATCTTTATTCTCCCTCCTCCAAAATAAAGTGGTTATAATATTTTCTTCTTAATTCTAAAAGACATGTTCAAAATAAAAAGATAAGAAAACAGAAGTTGTAACAAAATAAGATTACCTTTATTTGCATTTAATACATTCTTCTAGATTTCATAAGAATGTATATTGTTTTGGTTTGCTTTTTATCTGAACTTGGTCTTGCTGTGTTTCCCAAGAGGGCCTCAAATTCCTGCAGAGGCTCAAGATATCCTTCTACCTCATGGGACTAGAGATGCACTACCACACCTGGCTAGCTTTTTCTTTTTTAAACACAAAAATATCATGATTTTACTGATTTACAAGTCTGTAGTAAATAATGGAATCCATTATCAGCAAATCCAGATGTGTAACACCAGCTAGATGGCCCCAGAGTATTCATTCCATCAATGGAACATACCAGAATTTGTTTTTAAAATCTGCAATTAACAGAGTTAACACAGTCCCAACTTCTTGTAATAAATACAGCAAATGTCTTTACAAAATTGTTTAGATATTACTTGGAGGAAAGTTCCAAAAGTAGAAATGATGAAGGGCCACTTACAAATAGCAAATGAGCTAACTTGGTATGAGTCTACCTACATGATTTTTTAGTGTTTTGGGGGTTTTGTTTTTGTGTCTTTTTGAGAAGTCACTAATTTACTTATGATTTAATAGAGTGCAATGAAATCAGCATTTCTAAAGGGACACTATTGTATCTGGCTATCATTTCCATGTTACATTTGAAACTTTAAGTGTTTTAAACTGCAGAAGTGTACTATGGCTGGTTCTGTTTCGTCTTCTATCCAAGACTCAGATCTGCCTTTTTCTTCCTCACCAGCAAAATGGCAATGAGAACAGGGAGACTCACACTATGTCCATAAGCTATTTACTAGATTACAACTGTTAGAAAAGGAGCTTGTGGGACTGGAGAGATAGGTCAGCAGTTAAGAGCACTGGATGCACTTGAAGAGGATCCAGGTTCGGTTCCCAGAAGCAGCATGGCAACTAAGAACCATCTGGAACCCAGTTCCAGGGAATTTGGCACCCTATTCTGAACTCTGAGGGCATGAGACACACACACAGTATGCCTACATACATGCAGACAAAAAACACACTCATAAGATAAAATATAGTATTTCCAGCCGGGTGTTGGTGGCTCATGCCTTTAATCCCAGCACTTGGGAGGCAGAAGCAGGCAAATCTCTGTGAGTTCAAGGCCAGCCTGGTCTACAGAGCGAGTTCCAGGACAGCCTCCAAAACAATACAGAGAGACCCTGTCTTGAAAAAAATAAATAAATAAATAATAAAAAAGTATTTCCAAATGTTGTGCTAATAGGCACCCACAAGCACACCTGCAAACCACCACTGCTGTTCCTAAGAAGGGTCCTCACAGTTGATGGCTACGTCTTTTTATAGAGTTTTTCTCAACATTCTTTTAAGAAGCTTAAAAATACTACTCCCTCCTCTTGCATGCTGTATCAAGCTTTTTAATTGTTCACATCTGCTC